ATTTTCTGTATGAATATTTTTTTTATGAACAGGTGACCATATGGGTGACATTCTGCATTCATGACTGCAACAAATGACGTCGGGACATTTTTCTTAGTAATCGTAGATCCAACAGCTTGACAATATTTGAGAGAAAATTGTAGATCAAGTTAAAGTTTTCAAAACCAATAGCAGTGAACTAGTTGATAACGTATCAATACACGTCGATCCTTGTTTTAGGCACTGAAAGCAAAACAGAAGAGTACCGTTGTTCATCCGAGGAATGTAGTACGCTGGATCAAACCGATCATAACATGAATGGTACTTTTATTGTTTCTATTGGTTTACTTTTAATTTCTTCGTAAACTTATTCGGCAATTGATTTCTGTTGGTACTTATTATATATTTGAATCCATTTTCAGAGTTTAACTTCTCCAATAGTCTTTCCGAGAACAGCTGCACAGATGTTCCCAGCTGATGCATCACTACCAGATTATCTGTGATTTGTCTTCAGAACATTCCATATCATAGTTGTAAATAGTGCACATTCTAATTCAACTTTGCTACTTCAATGCTTAAACGAAATTACAACACTTCGGTGGCAAATATGAAACTTCGAACTTTAAAGAACTTATTCCTGATGGACGGATGAGTTGTGGATTCTAATCATTTGGCTCCATATGTAAAGATATTGCATGTAAATTTCCTTTTCACCATTTATATGGTTCTCAAATGTGAATTATGAAGATTAAATGGAAACATTGTAAAATGCGCCTAGTGACATCAGAACCACACATCAGCTATCAGTGTCCCTCTCCTACCAGATGGCACCATTTCACTACACCCCTACAACGTCATAAAGATTCGTCCACTGCAGTAACTTTTTTTTTTGCTAATTAGGTTGTCGAAACAAAGCTCTGCAGTCCTGCGAATCCTCCACTCATCTCTGACTTCAAGATAGAGAACGTGGCAAAGGACCCGTCCATTATTTTAAATTCTTAACTGAAAGGCGAGTAGAACCCGCTAAAATTCGAGAAGCGGTTCTCTATATGGTTCTCTGAACTTCAGTAAACTGCGATGATAATACTTGAGAAGTACTACGATAGTAGTATACTTTATGGACAACATGGCGGAGGACTTGTCCATCATTAACTACTTAATGCAGACACTTATACTTTGAAACACACCGAGGGTCCTTGCATTCGAGACTTTGTCAGTGCTCAACTACTGCAATAAGCTGGGTGCGAATATTGAAAAAACCTGAAATGATGCCCGACTCAGTTTCTAACAAGGTATGGAGTACCCCAATTATCCAGAGAAGTAACTTAGTAATCATTAAGCTCGAAACAGTGTTTCATATTCCTTCTGTTTATCCTCGGCACTTGACATCGAGGTCAATTTCCCTCATTTGAATTACCAATTGCTATTTCACACAAGAGACATATGAACACCGACGAGCAAAAAATAAAACCAACCCAAAATTAATGAGACATACAGCTTAAGATGCGAGATGACACCCTCTTATCGTGTCATTATTTTTCGTTAGAGAAAATACTGTCAATTAACATGATGATGTAATCTGAGCGTTAGACCGTTATCATATAATCGGATTATTTACTATCACTAATCACATCGAGCCTCTGAATTACTTATTAATAAGTTTATTCCGAATGCTGTTAAGGCGCTGTAAAAACAATTTCTAAAAAGCCTATCCCATAAAACAGCACTTGCATTTCCTTCATCGGCTACGCATATTTTAAGTTACACCGGAAAGTATGTCACGAAATAACAGTTACACAGAATTCTTGAACAAATGCATTAATCTGAACAATTAATGAACTACCAGACCAAAAATCACAGGAAATATAATTTTCATGCCAGATTGTTGATAATTACACTCGCTGTTAAAATCATTTGATCTGAGCAGAGAACAAATAGACAATGCACCGTAAGCAGCGGGATTTGTTATACAGAAACGCGATATACGACATACAAACATATACCACACATACATATACATACATACATGCATACACACATACAATGTAATGAACATTAAATACATCATCACAAATCATCACCAGGCTGGACAAATCTGTGGTTGAACGTGAAGAAATAAGAAATAGCAGCAAAACTGGGCTTGCAGGAATAAATTTCACAAGACAACAATGCAAGTGTTAGAGTAGAAAACAAATAATATGTAACTCGGGGTAATTAGCTCAATAAAAATGGCACAGTCATTGATAACGCCATCTTTTCGAATAAATATTACTTCACTTTATTCCTTCAAAATGCCAACAGCGTGTTACAACGCATTAACGCGAATTACCATACTTTATCTGAGCACTGTTCTGAATATGTTATTTTTTGTTTCTTGGTATCCATAAGTTTGATCTCCTTAAAGAACTTTCAATACCTTCACGAATAAATGGATTTAGCTGACAATCCAATTCCAACTTGTAAGAACTAAGGCAACATGTAAGGAACAGTTGAGAATAACGGCCGATAAAACAAAACAGGAGAGGAAATGAGACAAAATGGAAAGTACACACAGTAAATAATCGTTTCAAAAGAGAAATAAAAATTATCCACAATTCGCCAAGAAAAAAAATGCACTCGAATTCTAATTTATGCATGTTAAATGTTCTCAAACGCCGGAATCAAATCAGCTCCATTCTGAAAAGTTATAAGAGAATAGTTCAAGTGAAAGCGGCTCTGATAAGGACACCATCGGGAATTTTCAAACTGGCCTAGAAAATTTCCGATTTTAGAAAACAAAAATCCCCTAACTCTACAAATGTCTAAAAAAAATTTATGCTTTCGAAAGTGAAACATAAGAATTAATGAAATCGAAGAAATTAAAAATTACTAAGACACCTTCATTTCCCAACATTAGCTTGCTCATGCATGAGTTGCAGCAAGCTAAAACCACCTTGAACACCAGCAGTACCATTGTGTCGATGTGAATTGAACATATGAGCTTGTTGTAATATTCGTACCATTTCCGTAATCGGTGTTAACATGGCTGAATTTGGTGCTGCTGCGGGTGCAAATAATGTCGGGGGAAGACTGAAAAACCGAGTATTCCCACAGAAATTTCATACGAAGAAACGAAGCTAACACAATGACAATACTATGCTCATTTCAGGCAAAAAAGGCACAAACTACCCACGATTCTTTCCTCTTTTGTAATGACAATTTCTTTCTCAAGTGTGAAAGGTCTCACTATTTCAAATCACGTAAAACGTGAGATAGCTCAGGTATATTTTCTATCCTTGACAAACAGATAGTCATACAAGGAACAGTGTATTGGCAATATTATCTTAGTATTGTAATTCATCATGCAAACAGCACCCGGTAGGTTCAACGATAATAGTACTAGAGAGCTGTTTCGAATCTGCTTTGCCATTAGTAAGATCCAGCGGTATAGTTGCTGATGCTTCACTATATTCTGAGACTGATACTGCTCCCGCTACCGTAGAACTGCATGGTTCCCGTTTCGTTTGCTGCTAAATGGCAAACTGTTTGTTTCAAAAGTAAATTAATACCAAAAATTAATACCACCTCGAAGATACCGTGAACCCCGCACCAACAAATAAAAACCCAAAGTTTAGAAGCAATGGATATTTACTGAATTGTAAAATCAATCCTTGGAAGAAAACACAATATGCTCGATTTACGAAACATATCACACTAAAAAGTTCACCCTAAGAAGATGAAACCAAATTACTTACTGTTATTTCATCAGTAACTGCCAACTTGACCGGCCTATCACACTTACGTTTGCGCGTCCCAAAATGACTATTCTTTTCTGGAGTCAATTTTGGTCGTGTTGATGTGGAAATATCACTATTTTGCGAAAGTGGCGAATGAGCATTTATGCCTGCTTCCGATGAACCGGCAAAATATAGCAAATTATCCTATAAAAGAGAATTAAAACCAAATAAAAGAACCCAGACTTGGTATTAAATAATTAAACATTATCCAAGACGTTAGAGCAAGAAAAAGAGCTATTCTGCCATTTTAAGCTTATGAAGGTTAATTTTCCCGGCTGTTATAATCATGTCAACTTCTGCTCCTTTCTCTACTCAGAAAAAGCAAAAATCCATTGAGAAATCTAGGAGAGAGGTATATATGAATGTTTTTATATATCCTTTTACTTAAATGCGTGATCTTAACTTAAATGCGTGATCAAAATTCGGGGCAAAAATTGGTGACAAATTTGAGTCTTTAGTCATTCGCTTTGTGGACTATTTCTTCTGTCATATTTTAACTTCATTTTATCAACATTTTTCAATTCATTTCTGCTAGTTTTTTCTTTTGTCCAGTATATTGCTGAATTTTGATTATCTACATTTCAGTACCAACCGATACCCACAACAATCGAAGTTATTCCTGCGTCAAGAATTAAATAAATCCATTCTAGCCAGTTTTTAATTTTATGCATTTAAGACTTCTGAAAGATAGAAATTTTCATACTTATCATTAATTGCTCAGATATTTCGTTTCCAAACAAGTCAAATTTACTCATTTGTTTTAAAAATTGGAATTTCATCACATCTCGATATATTCCAAACTTCACTGTTATAATGGAAGTTCTGTGAGAATGAATAATTGTTTCCACTCGAGAGCATATGGAGTCGCAAAAAAGTGAAGATATTAACAAACCATTTTTGGAACAGAACTGTCACGCGAATTATCACCACTGAATGAATCAAACTGCCTTTGTGTAGCAGAAGTGTGCAGCTTTGGATTAGGATTAGCTGAATGTCGATTTCTACAATAAAGACTGACTGTCCATTTGAACAACAAAATGTTGAAATATTCACTAAATATGTGATTTTGATCGTTTTCCCAATAATTTCGTAATTTCATAGGCAAGTAATCCTTTTTCTTTGTCAACATGAAATAAAAGACTATCCAATATCATCCAGTTCTTACTTGTGAAGATCACTAAATCCGATGAATACGTCGAAGAATCCAGTGATATTTTGGAGTAATAACAATAAAATACTACCAGTGTCTCAATGAAACTTATTACTTATTACTCTCCGAACGCTATCGTTCACAGTGCGAAAGCACTACTCACATATCATACTACTGTCCTTGATTAATTGTATTTTGCCACTAATTTAAATAAACTTGGAATTATGGTTCATAATTCATTGCAGATTCAGAATCACACCATCAAACCCTGGTAGCTTGTGAAGAGCCATCTCATTCATCTACAAAACTGAAATAACTTCTGCATTCTGATCAAAATAATTGAAAAGAGCAAACCTGCTACGTCTTGATGAAAACATCATTTCACATCCTTCTACTGTACACTTGTGCATTTCTTTCAGATGTACTGCACTGTTGTGTATTTTTAGTGCTCCTTTATCACAGAATGTCTTGAAACATTTCAAGCACTGCACCCGTCTCTTGCCACTACTTTTCGGTGTCTAAGAGTTTCAGAGCCTTACAGATAGGTATATTAATGAAGTACAACGACAGAAAGAGAAATGAGAAAGGAAATGGTGATAAGAAAAAGCAGGGAGGAAAACAACTATCCCAAATTCTGAAGGACAAACAACAAGAACAGTAGTACCTGAGTAATCGGTTTCGCTTTCAAATCGCTACTCTCGATGAATGGTGCAGCATCAAATTTGACGACCCCTTCATCGATTACTGTCGTCTCCTCATGTTGTTGTTTTTTTTGTTGCTGCTGCTGTTGCTGCTGATGTTGTAGCTGCTGCACCATTCCCTTCCCGACAATTTCATCGACCTCATCAGCAATTAACTCCGATGAAATATGCTCATCACTTGCAGATGCTTCACAACCACTCGTTGATTCCGATACTCGAGAACCTTAAATTTTAAACAGTTAAATTCATCCTTTAAATGGATGATGACAAAAACCGAGATCTCAATTATTACTTTGAACTTTGGAGTGATATTACGGATTACATCATTTAGAATAGGACATAAACGAAAATTGTAACATTTCCAATTTAACTGCTAAGATGATGATAAGAGTTTAAGAGCTTACGACAAATGATGATAACTTAGATTTGTGCTGGAATTACCAGACGCTTTGAAGAAATGAGTAGGTCTATCACGGACAGCTACTTGGCAAAAAGTTTAAAATGTGTTCATTAAAAACGTCCTATAATCTTATAATCTCTTATAACCTAAAGAACATTTCGCCGTCCGTGTCTTTTTGTTTTTAAACAGAATAAAATTCATTGATTTACATCCATTCCTTCTGACTTTTAAAGAACAGCAAATACAACTCCTTAAAATCTTGTACGGAGCTGTTCATAGATATAATTACGCACATTTTCTGCAGATATTATGAAAACGGTCGGCAGCTTCAATTGGCTTCCTCATTATAAAATTACAAGAAATGGTAACAAAAGAATATGAAAAGCAATAAAAATGCGAACAAGGTCGTAAAAGCATATCGGCAACTGATCCTTGAGAAACATTCAACACTGGTGGTGGAAATCCTATAAATGATGGCCAACTATGCAGAAACGATGGCACGAGTGATCGGCGAAGTGGATCAACCAGATCGGCACACGAAGTAATACCCGTGAAACGATCCATAAGTTGCAGTTCGCACTGCACATTAGCACACATCCAATTATTCAGAGGTTTACCCGTCTTAACATCCTGAAACATTCGATGTGTCTCGGTTGGTTCGTATATTCTAGCATCAGTGGTGCAGAAAGGATGGCTCATTGACTATATCAGAAGTTACTATCAATAGTATTACTATCGACAATACAAACGAGCATGTTATTCAAATTCTCAGGAACTACTGATCAGGAAATTACAGCAAGTATAAGTAGTAACAGTAAAGTCTTCTCAACGATAATTAACTACAACAAAGCACATTCACTTGCGAAAGCTATAGTGTACAATAATTCCGAGAAGTTTCCTGGATTTTAAGGAAGGAAACAAATTGGCCGAAAACAAGTGGAAGATGAAAAAGATTAAAAAGGAGAGACCGAGGGTGAACAGTATTCATTGGTGTTCATGAATATCAGACTGAAATGTTATTCCGTTAGTTAAGTTTACATTTTGATGGTTTATCTTTATTTTAAAGCGATGACAGTTCAGTCTCGATGAGCCGTACATCACTATAAAGCACTAAGGACCAGCGCGATGCACAAAGAGAACAATCAGCAATGATACCGTTACTGCAGGCAAGAACAACTAAGACGACAACAATTAATAACCAACAACACACACATTTTCTTATAAACTGCATTCAATTATTTTACTTTAAAAGCGCTTCGTCTTTTCTCCGGTTGCGCCAAATACATCGCAGAGAACTTGCGTTGCTTCATTTTCATCTCCATTCTGCAAGCTACTTTCAAATTATATTTGATACTTCCTTTCATTGCACTGCTTTTCAAGTACGAACAATCCATGAAATAATCGAATAATAACTCAAAAAACCTAGTCTAAGATATAAAGCGTCTAGGTCTACATTGAGGAAGACATAATGATAAATTGATTATACCGAGTAAATCACACTATTCCTAAATTTATATCCATAAGTATTCTGACACAAAATATTCTAAACTCTGACAAAGAGTCGACGAATTTAAGCTTTTCGTCCTATAATTACTCAGTGGTTTTAATGTTCGAAAGATATTTCAAGTTATAGTCGTTTCAACAAATAGAAAACAGAACAATAGTTGCATAGAGTTGACCTTTTTATTTTAAATACATAATTTAAGCCAATACAGTATTTATACTGATGACCGCATTAATAAAACTCACACAAAATTCAAGTTAGACTTGTTGTTGCGGTACGACAATTGCAAGAATAAACTACTATCTAAATCAGATGATGACCTTCAATAGGTTTCAAGTAAAATAACCAAACGTTAACAACTATTGGTTAACTAAGATCAGACCGGAAGTAAAATCCTTGTCCGGCAAATATTGAATAAGACGGTTGATGGATGACATCATGAACTTTAACAAATGTAAAAATGTCAACATCAACAAAAAATCGATGCATTTCACATAATCACTGAAGTTTATATTTCATACTAAGAGTTGGTATTTACTAACTTCTTACGAATATTCTACAAATTGTACCCTAACTATGCATAATTAACTAACCACGCATTATCCAACCTCTAAAGAGTAAACACCGCGCATTTTAACTATGTAAAGTTTCATAAATAAGAAATATGGAATAGAAGTATTAGGTAGAAAAGGAGGAAATACACCTTCAAACATTCTTGAATGAGTTTATGTGCATCTGATTCTAAAAAGATAACATCCGGACTATAGCTGATGGACAACAGTAAATGTAAGATACGGTTTCTCTACAGAATTCTATCAAGAATTTTATCAAAATCGTTTTGATCTGCTGAAAAGTTCGTGATTATGAATGGATACAAAATATTCAAATGAAATGCATTTAACTTCACGCGAATATTTATTATTTTTCCTGAATAACTTATGGTTATAATCACCCTCCTATAATTATTTACAAATCAAAATTCAATAAAAGCGAATAGGTAAAACGTTTATTTGATTGGAATTAAGTCAAAGAAAAAAAAAGTGTTCAGCTGGTTAATATGCAGTGCGTGTTTATGAGTCGTCATATGAAAATAAATAATAATAATAATAATAATAATAAGGGCGATAGGAATACATCCGAAAGGGTTCATAAATGGATGCTATAACCACGTGATATCCTTATACACAGGGAAAGACAGTGTCACTATGCAATTTTGTCATTGAAAATAACATCTTTCAAAAGCTCGTTTATTGAAGCACATCAAATGGCTTTTGGAAATTGCCGTAATTGTCTCTCTATCACTACCACCATAAAAAAAGAAGCAATTTACTTTCCCCGATACCGATTTTCGAAATAACGAAATGTATGAGTGATGTATGTTGAATTTTAACTTTTAGCACGGTCTGCCATAAAATGCAATTTATGAAGCATATTTACTTTTTCTCTTCCATAAAATGACCCTTTTCTGCGATGCACACTAAAAAGCATCCATTTATGCATGTTGTATGCTGAAAAAGCACGCAAAGTAGTATAAGGCAGCAGCAAAATTTCAGCCTACTATGCTGCAAGTACAGTTAATAAGCAACTCAACTCCTCTCTTCAAAACAGTATCCCGGAATGATTCCTCTTTTGTCATATAGGATAACGCCACTTACAAAAACAACTCTGCTTTTATCGTAATTAACGAAAATTAAAACAGGATTAAAAAAAACACGAAGCACAGTCCTTGTAAATTAGTATAAGGCAGCAATAAGACTTCAGCCTACTATACTGTAAGTACAATTAATAGCAACTCAACTCCTTTCTCCAAAACACTATCCCGAAATGATTCCTCTTTTGTCATACAGGATAACAATTCCCAATTATCGATATTTCACCCTCTCAATTACCGGCATTTCATTCCTCATTTAAAAGCTTCATTGATGATTTCGAACAGATGGACATGTTAGCTATACAATTTAAAGCAGCAATTGCACTTAAGTCCATTTTCCTATTACTAACGAATTTTAAAATTTGATACAACTCAAGAAATCTAGGTGATCTGAGGTAGAAAAAAAAAGTGAATATCTAAGAAGTATCAGTAATTCAAAAGAAAAAAAAATCCAAAAATTGGAAAAATTTCGAAGACTTAATCAATAAATTTGAAGATTGTAGAAAACTTCAAAAAATAAAAAAGAGAAACAAAAAAATTCGGTGAGAGGTAAGTGAAATATACATCCGAAATTCAACAAATAAGAAGTGTACAATTGTTAAACTATTGAAAAGACATGCATTA